CAACTCTTGTCAACTCATATTTTCAATGTGGTTTAGTTTATTTTTGTTGATCATAAAGTTCCAGAGCTATTTTGATGTCTGAAGAAAATTTATAAAATTTCCTCTGTGAATAATGTCTGGACAAATCAAACAAATAGTTGACTTGTAAGTCCAAAGACATTGAACAGTGGTGTATGTGATAAATACATACTGGTTTTTTTTTATGCAGGTTTTTACTTAAAGGCTTTTCATTTGGTGTAATATGGGATTGGAGATAATGAGAAATATCAAGAGTTGTTACAAACCCAGTTGTTTGTGTAGCAGCTGTTTGAGCTTAGGCTCATGTTATCTTTTTCCTTTCACTGTACAATTTCTTCAGTTTTATGCCAAGTACCGGTTTTGCTGTTAAACAGTAATAAAGAGAGTTTCTCCTGAGAGGGTTTCACCCTTGCTTATACACACCTTTGGTACAGCGCAATAAGCAGGACTGAAGTGATTGTCTGCCAGTTGATGGAGCAGCTGCTGCTCAGGTGATCAGATCATTGATTAGGTGCTTGACTGAAATCTGAAGTTTGGATGTTGAATTGCTGTACTGAGTTGGCTGATACCATCCTCCTTCCAACACATAGGGGTTGGTCTTCTTTCCCTCTTGCCTACCCTTCTGTATTATTGCATGATTTATGGAGTAAAAAGTTAGTCATCTGCTCTAGAAAGGCCTTCAGCTGTAACTTCCAGTCACTTGTTGGTTTCCCACTATGATGGTAGGAAGGGAAAACTTTACAGTTTCCATTGTTTCTGGAACAATGCTCAGAGTCTTCTAACTACCAGATCCTTGTCTCTACAACTGCATCTGCATGTATATTTGAGTTTCTGGTACACAATAAACCTAGGAGATTAAAAAGGTTGTTTGTCTCTGTAGTTCTCTCAGTACTGGACTGTAACATACACCAGAATGCTGGAGACTACAGAGGTAAGTAAGTGGATATTGCATGTTCTTGTGCCTGCATTCCAATGGCACAAGTCCTCAAAGATAAATCAAGCTAACATTCAAAGTCTGAGGTAGATACCGCAGACTATATGCTAATACTGTTCTTTGTATCACTGGAATAATGTAGGTTGAAGGCAACTGGTGAGAGATTGCACAAACTATATGTAAAGAGCTGTCACTTAATTGTCTAACTTTCTCAAATTCCAGTAATCTTGAAGTGGACATCTTAGTTTTAATGTGTTCCTATGAAAATATTTTTAGAGAGATTTTTGCTGCTCCCTTCTACATGTTTACGAAGGGATTTTCTAGAAGTACAACTGTCTAACCCATTGACTGTCTGACTACCTTTTTCTAAATAGGATAAGATAAGCAATATGTGAAGTACTATCAAAAAATGAAATTTTTTTGTTTTTGTTATATAACTTCCATCTGTAATAGAGATTTTTGCTGCTGCTTTTGACTCCTGAAGCATAATTTTCCACCTGATATGGTCTTGGCTCTGTTATTTCAATAAATACATAAGAAAATGTATCTGCAAATCCCTGTGTTAAGAGGGAAAGACTTCCACTTCAAAAGGAATGGAACAAGTCTGTTAGAAATGAGCTTCATGTCCCTAGCTTAAATGTGTACTTAAGTTCTTGCATGTACATTTGGCTAGAGTTTGTGCTATGTGTGTCATCTGATTATGTGTGAACAGCCAAAGATAGCACACTGCTGCAGCCTGTGTGCAAAGCGGCACCTGCATCTAAGTCACAAGTCTGGAGAAAAAGCTTTGCAAAATTGCTTTCAGAGATTTGGCCTCTCAGCTGTTTGGATTACTGTGCAGAGCTCCAGGACTCATTAGAAACCTTTTATTTGTTAAAAAGACCATTTATTAAGAACATCTACATGGGCGGATTTGGATGATTGGAACATCAGGACCCTTCGGCCTTTCACACCAAAAATTTCTTTCCCTTTTTGGCTCAGTTTTTCCTTCATATGCATTCATACCATAGTTACAGTGTTGAGATTTCCCTTAACTGCCATTTAACTGGGAGAGGGAACTTGCTCCTTCTTTCAGTCAAATGATAGAAAGATCTAGGTTATGAGGGTGTGATTCTGGTCAGAGTAATAACCTTTTGCTTTAAAAGTGTAACCAAGTGTATACTTGTTGAAAACAAGTCATTCTGTAAGAGCCATTGGGAACTTGTCCAGCTTCCTGGGAAGGACTGGTGGGGGTTTTATTTTTTTGTTAACTGGGAGAGGTTTCCCATCTTTCTTACCACATCCAGCTAACCTGTTCTGGCCTGCTTTAGAAACTTGGGCCAGACTTGAAAAGACATCAGCTAGAGGCATTTATAAGCTGCGCATACTTCTTCAAGTCTTGATGTAATTGCTGAGGTGAATCACCTTTGTCCATTCCTAGTGCATGAATGGATTTCTTTCCTTTTCAATCCCAATGAAAGCAATGGATATCAAGCCTTATAATTTGTTCCTAGTAAATCAAATGGATGGTAGGAGAGCCAAATTCCTATTCTGGTTTAAAAAAAAAAAAAAGCTTTTGGCTTTGCAATTTAATTATCATGCTGATTATCTTATTTTTCACATAGACCCTTTCTTGAATTATTGAGTGTTTTAGGAATAACACTGATAGTAACAATGTGCAATGAATAACATTGTACTTCCTAGATGATATAATAAAATGTAGATTTGGTTGGTATCAGTAGAGGTGGAGCAGATTTTCTGGAATTCAAACATGCATTGGAAATAGAGAATCTGTGTTTTAAACTAATACATAGAATCAAACTTCTCCCCAAACTAATAGGTGCTGGACATATTACAGAAACATGTTCAGTCTTTGATAAAATTACTCTTAAGATAAATGGGAACTTTGCACTGCTCTGTAGTGATACCTGTTGCTATATGAGGCTCTGAATTGGAGCTATAACTGCTTGTTAAGGGCAAACAACATAAAAGGAATCATTTAGGGTGTTCTCAGGAAAGGAAGTTACTGGCTGTACCCAGACTTTAAAATGAAATTCTGCTGCAGCACATAATCTTATTTTTGGCCTTGTATAAAGTTGTATTCTTATTCTTTGGCCAAAATTTAACTCATACACATTTTTGTCACTGAAGTGTTTTGTAATCCTTCCATAAAGGACAAGATTGTCCAAACGTGGCATTTCTATTAAGTGATTGGAAAAAGCGGGAAATGCAGTCTTTACTTTTATTGTGTATTTACCTACAGTAGACTTAAAATGCAAACCATTCTGTGAGCCTGTTTATAAGGCACGAAGCTACTTGTGTTTTGCTTAACCAAACGGCCGAAACGTTGCCAGCAGTATGCCTGGAATGTTATTTACTTGGTCAATTTCTGCAGTTTTTCTTTGTAGCACTGTACACACGCCACAGTTAGGGGTCATTTACTTACAACTGACCAAAGTAATACCCCTGAAGCTGCAGTTATGCTTCTCATCAGGGGCTTTATAATAAAAGGTTCAGCATGTTCTGCAGCTTCTGTGCTTGCACTTTTCCCCCCTCTCTCCCTCCCTCCCTCCTCTTAATCAGAATTGCTTTTGGCAGAGATTTGGAGAGCTGCTGTTTTTTCTTGCTTTGTTCTCTGTGATTTGATTCCTCTGTTAGTGCTTTAATTTCTTATATTGTTTCTTACAATGCCAGCTGATTGAAATGTATTAACTTGCTTTGCTGGATCACTATTATTATTTTATAAGAAGACGGTTATTGAGTATGGTTTTCTATTTAAGTGTGTATCATATTATATGGTCTCAGTTCCAGACATTCAACTCGTTGCAAGAAAACTGTGGGTGTTTTAACATTTCCAACGGAAGGGTAGGGTGGGTGGGGAAGCTCTTCGGAACGCTGATGAATAATATTTGACTCTTGGAAATGTCTTAAGGCCATGTGCTCCCTCCCCATGCTTGGAAGGCTAGACTTAGTTTTAAAGACCTGTGGTCTTAAGGTGTTACCATTATGCTTTATTTCCTTTCTAACTGTCTGGAGTTGAGAAAACAGTTGAAATGCAGATTATGGATGCCGAGGGTTAGTGCAGGAATACTCTGCAGATGGTGGTCTTGGTTTGTGCCCTTGCTATTCCCATCTATGGCGCGGTGCCCTGTTAATCCTTGGCATGCTAGTTAGAGGGCTTAATTCTGTTATTTTTCGTTCCTAGATGTATATAATTTCAAAAATTATGTAACTTTTGAGACGTTAACATCTGTAAATAAGCATAGCAGAAATTGCCTTACAGCAGAACAGAACATGAGTTGGGAACTGCAGTAACTTGCAATTCAGTGTAAGTGTTTTCAACAGCACAGCAATAATTCATAATAGTTTTTTGCCCCAATTTCTTCTTATAGTACCTGAGTGCAAAGCAGAGCAGATATAGATTGGGTTGTTCTCCCCTGTTGTGAAAAGCAGTTAGTGAATATTGAGTCTCCTTCTCACTTCTGTGCTTGTGGTAAAGGATGTTCTTTTTCCTCTGCATTTGCAGAAATGGTAAACTCTTATCATCAGATGGTATCTTTTTAGCTTGTTTTAAGTTTTAACAAGCACATGTGTTTTACTATACATGGCTTTTGTTGCTTTTGGATAGTGATTTGTTTTCTTTATAAAATGTTTCTGCTTTATTTACTTCCAGCTTTGATCATTTAACTGATAAATACTTGCTGCCTATATTCACACCTGTTCATCTTTTATTATCCTGGCTTATATATAAATGCTTCTATTGAAATAAATCAGTCTTGTAATTTGAAAAATACAAAACTTTGGTTTAAGTTACTTCTTACAGGTAATAGCTGTTTGACGGTTGAATACAAAACAACTGCTTGGCAGAATTTTAGTTTGATTCTCTGCCAATCAACAATAAAGTACAACCTAATTCCTTTAAACGCCTGAGCTATAAACTGTCAGTCATGACCTAGCATGCATATAGTAATAACAGGCTGACAAGGCTAATAAAGCCTATACATTATTATGGCCATGCAATGCATGTAATAACAGGTCAATAATGTATTTTGTCGCTCATTCCTATTGTGCAGCCCACACATCATCTTCTTGTCACAGAGTGTATTACCGGGAGGGAGCCATCTCTGTGGAACACGTCTGTGCCATGAAATTGCTCATGCTTGGTTTGGACTGGCCATTGGTGCTCGTGATTGGACTGAAGAGTGGATAAGTGAAGGGTTTGCCACTTTTTTAGAAGATATATTTTGGGCTAGGGCACAACAGGTAAGGTAATACATCACTTCTCAATTGAATTATGTGGAAATCAAAATTAAATCCTGTGTTACGAAGATAAGTCTCTTAAAATAATACTGGAATTTGCAGGGTAACTTGATTTTAAAAAAAAATTAAAAAATCCTTCCTGATCCACAATGAAAACTAGTCTTTACAGAGGTAGAGGTCAGTGCAGCTATCAAACAGTTTCTCTGCATTCTTTCCACTTGTGTTCCTGAAACTGGAATAATCGGCAGTCTTACTGAATATTGTAATATTCCAGGTACCTAATGAAAGTGGTCTGGTTTTGTCCAGTGGACAGCCAAGAAGCGTACCTCAAAACAAAATGGAAGCTGATGAAATAGGGCAGCAGCACTTACACTTCTTTTCTCTTATACTGCCCAGCAAGAGTTACCCTCGTGTTAGAGGCTTAGAAATCATTGTCTGCCTTAAAGTGAAAAAGCTCATAAATTGTGTGTCAGCTAGTAAAGTGGTTTTCTGATCCAGTACTCATTTCTGTTGTACCTCTGCTACTTCAAGCATTTCATGTGTTAGTAGTTTCTTCTGTGCTTCTGTCAGGCCCTGATTCTACCCCTTAAGTCTGCAGAGCTCCATCTGTGGAAGAGCAGGTGGGGCTGGGAACTGACATCGTACACTGTTTGAGCCTCCATTTTAAGTATCAGACATATTTATAGCACCGAATAAAACAGAATTCCTTGTCACTTACCATGTGTCTGGAACAAAAAAGAGAGGAAGGCTGTACAAATACTTTGTTTTTCCCTTCTGGTCCTAAAACTCATTTCTGCCCTTACATTGAGCATCACTCCTCTGCTGTGAGCTGTTGACATTAATTCTACACTTTTGTGAGTCGCTTGAAAGCATTTTCGTTGTAGTAGACACCCTTCCATGTAGCTGAATGGAAAGGAGTAAGGAACAAAACAGGGTGATTAGTGCCCCTTGTTAATTTATAAGGTCAGAAAATGTATTATTGCTTTTTTTTTCTTTTTAGAATTTATGAATAGTTTTGGTGCAATCATACAATTGTAAGATTGTAAGTATATTCCATAGTTCTGACAATAATTTCATGTGACTGAAATATTGGTGTAATGCAGGATAATATTAGCTGCTTTTGGTTTCTCCCATCTCCCATCTTTTCTTATAATAAAGAAGCATAAATGAGTTGTTATTTGTAAGCTGACAACCTGGCATTTATTTCATATGCATGCATCTCTGTTAATATTATGTAAGTGGGGGAAAATACAACAGGGGGCTTTCATGAGTGTGTCAGAAGTAGCAGGAAAGAGGAGTGAAGTCAGGACACAAAGCAGCTCTTTGCTTTCAAGGCTGCGAAGAGTAAAGATGCAACCAAAACCGGTATGCCAGGTATCTGTACTGTACATTCAGTTCACTTGTTGCCAGTCACTAAAGGGAAAACAACATGCCCATGTCTCTCCTCAGGCAGAAATATTTAACCGACTATTGATTTGCTGCGCACAGCGAGGCTTCTGTTTTCCTTAGGGCTGATATTAACTCTTATAGCAGCAACTGTTATTTTTTGGTTTGTTTGTTTTTATCATGGACAGCGGTACTGTTTTCTGCATCTTCTGCATGTTAAAGGGAAACAAAACAAGTTTCTCTTTCTGAAAATTATTATTGTCTGTTGGGAAACAGCAATCAGTGATATGTGTTTTTTGTACACTAAGCAGCTGTCACATGATGAAGTAAAAGGGCAGCAGGAATTCTTTACTTCGCTGGCGACGACTCAGAGATGAGGTGCAGAACTCTGAAGAAGAGCTGCAAATTTTAAGGTAATTTTCTCCTTTCATTTTCTCCCTTCAGAGGATATGCATCCAAATCATCTGATTAAATCCACTGCATTTCCTTATTTCCTTCTGAAGAAAAAAGAAAAGTCAAATTAAATTGACTAGGTTATTAACCTTCTGTATAATGCAATTGCTTTTCTCTTTGTTATAGAAAGCTTTCAAAAACCATGGGATTTAGTTTGATATAAAATGTCTCTAAGCAGTTTACAAGAGCCTCTATTCAGGGGGAAAAAAAGGCCATTTCCTGAACAAAGTTCACTGTTTGAAGCCGTAACAGATTCACTTTCTGTAGCTGAAGACAAGCACATACAAGAGTATGGTATCTTAACTGCCAAGCTGGATGAAGCTTTAAAAAACAAAGGAAAAAGCAGAATGAACTATATAAATCTACTCGCTCTTTAGAAATGACTAATAATGCTATTTAAACAAGATTTTGGTCTTTCGGTACCAGATGCTGAGCTCAAGGCTGCTTCTTACATAGCTAAAGACATTAGATCAAAAAAAGATTCTTGCTTTGCTAATGATTAATAATCTGGGCTGTTCTGATTGGTGTCTTGGGAATTTGGCATAGGCTTTTATCTAGAGCGGCTGCCTAACATCTCCACTGCTTGTCTCCCCACAGTCTTTGACCAAGAAAAACAAGTTTACTAATCCTAACTCAAATTAGCCCTACACTGACCAAATCACGGAAGTACAGGGACAGATTTCAAGAGATTATGTAGACCGTTCTCCTACCCTGAAATACAGGCAGTATACACAGACCATCTTAAGCAGGTTTTTGCTAACATGTTCGTAGAAACCTCCAATAAAAAAGTTTCTTTTTATACCTAGCTAAGCTGTTTAGTGTTAACAGTTAAAAATTGCGTTCTAATGCATGGTTCAAATATTGTTTATTTCAAACAATGTAGATGTCTTCTTTTCTTTCACCAAGTGGAAGTGAAGAACAAACTGATTGCCATCTTCTATATAATCAACTTTTAAATGTTTTTGGAAGACTGTTGCCATTTCATTCGTTTTGAGGTCTTCCCTTCTTTTTGTGCTTTCCCAGTAGGACCTAAAAGTCTTATATTTCGGCACTGTTCACCAACATAGAAATTCCTCTCTATGGCCTCATATCACCTGAAAACGTGTCACCAACTTTGCATAACTATAGTCTTTCATTGTTCTGTTTTACTTCATGTTTATTGACAAATTTTGTATCCTACGTGTAAGCAGAGTCAGTGAAGTTACCATTTGCAAGTGTGCAATTTGATGATAGGTATAAATACAAAAGCAAGCCTTATCACTAGCTGTCATACAGCTGCTACCAACACAACTACTGATTGACAGATGCTGGGGTTTTTGTTTGTTTGTTTTAAAATAAATTATTTTTAGGAACACTGATTCTTGTGATATGAGGCTTATATGGATGTATGGTTCCATTTTCAACATTATGGAATCACATTTGCCATCTTTTGCGTTAATTATGTAGTTGTTACTTTTAATAAAATGTGTATGTGGTGTACATTTTTAAAATAATTTGTTGAAACTCAGGAAGGATTGGTTTGTCTTGAAATTGAAACTTAAGTTTTTTATTGACTTCCACAATTAGTAGACATAAGTTTCTGTCATAAGCATGCTGCTTACCTTTTGCATAGTGGTATTTTCAATGCTAATACAAAAGAATGACAAATCGTTTCTTGTTTGAAAAATATGCCTCTAATATACACTTCAAGAGGGGAACATGATGCCAGCTTGGGATTCTGGCAATCTCTTCCTTTCTGATGTCTCTAGTTTCCTGTGGTTGCATTTAAGGGCTTTCCATTGGTTTCAGTCAGATACAAATATTCTCTACTATTTTTGTGGCATGGACTCTGTTCTCTCTTTGCATGTTTGCTGTTTTTTTTTTTCTCTTCTTCTTCCTTCTGAAAGTATCTCCATGTGCTTTCCAGAGTTGGTATGTAAGAGAGAAAATGTCAGTCTTGGCATTGCACTGGGTTTTGAGTCTGTACTGAGGCTTGTGCTGGTTCAGGCTTGTGTTTTTATACAAGGATATTAAAATTAAATGATAACTTTTTTACTTCTTGCCAATTATGTCAGGAAGAAAAAATCAGCCAACCCACTCTTCCTAAACATAAGCTTATTCTTCAATTACTTTTTTGTTCCCTGCTGGACGATCATACTATTTTCTGTGCTTTCTTCTGACAGCAGAAAAACCCTGCCCAAAACTTGTCAGCTGATCCTAATAACTTCTGACCCAGCAAATGAACACCTGTTCAGACTAGGTGAAGCCACTCAGCAAACTGTTCATCAGCATGATGTTTCTTCTTATTATGGGTATTTGACATTATGTTATAGTAGCATCTCATAAGTTACCTGTGAAAAAAGAAGTCAGGTATGGAAGAAATGGGTGTCTTTTCAGCAGGCAGCAGCTCTGAAAGGCAGCACCAGCAAATCTTAGTATTAAAGAAGGAATTTGTGGCACTGTAGTGCTCATACAGGATATGACTTCAGACAGAATTCTGTGTATTTCCTCACAGAGTTTGAAGCAAACCTGCAGGGCTAAAAGCACCTGTGAAATATGTCCTGGCAGTCATTCTGCTGGCAAGCATCAATACCAGCACTCTCATCCAGTCTCTCATGTTACGAAAGCAAAGATGACTAGAGAAATCCATTTCATTCTGTGGAATAAAGCTGGTGTTGAGATTGTTTCATGTTCTGGCCCTTATGACTGAACTTCAGCTTGTGATTCTTCATTAAGACAAACTAGTGTTAATATCTAATTACAAATTTGCCTCTGAGTTCCACTTGAGTCAAGTCCATTTCCCTCCTGAAGCAATGCTCTCTGACTGCTCTGCAGGTGTTTAAAGAGTTTTATTCTATCACACTGATAGGAAATGTGCCTTTCAGATGGTCTCTCGTGATCTCTGCCTAGGTTTTCATGACTACCTAGTGCATCAGAGCATTTGATTACCAAGGGCTCCCTGGAGAATTGTACTTTTACTTTGTACAATGTACTACTTTGCGCGGCAAACAAAAAGCAGCATCTTTTGCTTCCTTCAGAAATTTGCCAGTATCTAGAATGTGCCAGGTAGCAGCTTGAATACCTTGAATCAGCTTGCCTTTAGCATTATGCGTAGCTTCATCAGCTAGGTTAGATGCTAGGTTTTGTAGGTCAGTGTAACAAACTTTCAGTCTCTGTACCTTCAATGTATTGTAAATATACTAAGCATTGCTTTAAAATAGTGTGCAGAAGTACTGACAGCAGAGAACAGGGTAACTTTCTGAATATTTACACTCTTCTGCAGACATTATCAGGGGTATATATACATCCTTTGCAAAAGGAAATTCTTCAGTACCATCATCCAGATGGGATAGTGCTTTCTAGTCACTTGCTAGGCAAGTGACTACACAGGCACAAAGTTGGAGGAGGAAGGAAGGAAGGATGGTTGCCTAATTTAGAATAATTGTAATTATGGGAGGTAGTTCAGTTTAGTGTGGATCCTGTAGCCTGTGCTCAAACTCCATTTTTCAAAGTCTATAGACTGGGCTATTTATTATGAGACAAATGAAGCAGTTTGGGCATTTTATATATGCAGGGAACAATGAAAAGTCATGTATGGAATGCTAGCAGGCCTTCCTTCCAAGAGACTGATCTAGAATAGAAATAGGTGGACGTCTGCTCTTCTACAGTAGGTCTGCAATGGTTACATTGTCTTAAAGAACTGGAGTTACCATAGGATAAGAAATCAGTTATTGATCTCCTCCTTTCAATGTTGAAGGAAGATCTTCCTTGAAAGAAAACATGAACTAAAGGACTGTGTTAGGAACAGTGTAAAATTGAATCTGCATTTTGTTTTTCTATTTTATTTTAAACAGTTGTATTTTATCAAGATTTTACTGTGTGAAGTGGATTTTATGTGCAGAGGTCCTAAATATAGTGCCTAAAGGGTGAAAAAACCAACTTAGCACTCTGGACAAAACTCTAATAAGAAACCATTACACAGATACAAAGAAAGAAGAATGTTTTCCACATAGATATGAAAGAAATTTGATCACAGGGATTAGCTCATGAGAAGCATGTGAGTGATGTGGTTTGAAGACTCCTGCACTACTGTGGCCTGTGTTGCCCCTATTCTGTAGAAGTGGGGGGAAAGATGTTTGGTTTCCAAGACTGGCCATTTCAAAATCCCCACTTGGAATTGGAGAGGTTGTTTCAGTCACAGGGTTAGGCTCCTAAGACAGACATCTGTTCTCAGACCACTGTTAGGTGGGATGTTTTCTGGGTGGAAGAAAAAAAGCTAGAGGGCTTTTTAGTACTCTGCCTGTGAAGGCACTGCTTACAAATGAAGAAAAAAATGTTTGCATAGCTTGTCTTTAGTTTCACTCTCTGTTCATAAAAGCCTAGAAGTCCTGCAAACTTTATTGCTGTAGATTTCTGGCATACCAAATGCTGTAGTACACTTCAAAATCAGGCAGTAAAGAAGTAGGTTTGTTCAAGACATTATTGTCTGTAAACCCCAAACCTCTACGTGTGTGAAAGGCTTACTCTTTCAAAACTTCAACTACTTTTCTTCCAACCCCAAACAGCAAAAATGAAAACTAGAACATTTTTTCTTCTGCCATGTATTGTATGCAGAGGAAAGAGGTTATTCTTGCAAGTATAGTCATGTAAGCTGTTAAGCCAATGTTCAGGTATAAGAAGAGAAATCTCTAGTTGCACGTAATGACTTCAATACCCTTCCCTTCTCTTCTCTTCCATTTCTTTCCCTTCCCTTCTCTTCCCTTCCCTTTTGCTTAAAATGTCTTTTTTTGTTTGTTTCTCTTTGTTCATAATGTGTCTGTACACTGTAGAATGGCTTGCAAGGTGATGTCATGCTGGCAGTGAAAAGAGTACACCAACTTAGTGATGGATTTAATTTGTACCCCAGCTGTCTGGTCAGCTACGTACAAAATTGCATTAAAAGTATGAAATGTGTTTGTTTGTTTGCCTAAGCCAAGTTATTTACTTAGGGTAAAGAAAAAGACTGAACTAGTCACAGGTGTCTAAAGTTACTATACATGATGCTTTCAACTATGAGAACGTGTAATGTATGAGTTATTTCTTTACTTGCTTATCGAAGACTTAATTAGTGTTACCATTTTAGGCCCAACAAGGAAAGCACAGGAGAATTGAGTGAGTCTGGAGCATCTGTTGTCAAACATGGTCTTAAAGCAGAAAAAATCTTCATGCAGGTTCACTATTTGAAGGTGAGTGTTGTCAGCTGATTTTTATTGAAATTGCTTTACTAATATGATAAAGACTTTTTTCTTCTAGACATCAGTGAATTCATAGCATCCTATTTGTTTCTGGCTTAATTTCTTGCAGGGTTATTTCCTTTTGCGGTCTCTGGCAAAGACAATAGGAGAGGCTTCATACTTTGCATCTTTACGAAAATTTGTCCATAAGTTCCATGGGCAGCTTGTCCTTTCTCAGGTACTGTGCTTGGGGTTGTTCCTCACTTTCTGAAAAAAACAAATTACCTAAATTTTTGGTTTGACTATCTAAATCACTACTTCTGGTTGTGGTGAAAACAGAGAGGCGCTTGTAACTTGGCAATATTGGTGAAATTCCTACCTGCTAGAGGGCAGAACATTTTTTTCAGGGTGATATATAAATTGGACACCCTGCTAGTATCTGATAATGTAAACAATAGGTGATTTTTTTTTTAAACTTGATGCTTTGAAAGGTCAATGTTCATAGGTGCTGATGTTCTCAAAGACAGGGTCATTTACCGTACTGGAATTGTCTCCTGTAGTCTTTTAGCTCATGGGATTTGGTTGAGATCGGTCAGTCTTTTCCTTGATACCTCTCTGTTTCTGATAGAGAAGAAACACAGAGTAGGAATGTAACTGAAAACTTCTACAAATTTTAACAGTGCATGCACGTTATATTTCTGACTTTATTTCCTTCCCCTCTACATGCTGCTTCATTCAATGCTTATAATTTCACAGTCTTTCTTATGAGGACGGTCTCTTTCTCACCAAGTCAGACAGTGATGTCCCCATCACTCTGTGACATTGCACCCACCTGTATTTCACTCTCGTTACAGCCACTGTATAGGTTTCCTCATCATGGTCCATACTCACATGCTTTCTAAAATGTTCTGTTACTGAAGTATTAATCTAAAAGGGATGTTTAAGATGTGCTGCTTCTTTCTTTCAGTAGATTGACAGTGATACCATGCAGTGGCAGCCCACTCTTAAGAGCAGTTGTTCTCATAGAACAGGATTTCTTCCTGGATTGGTGAAGACTTGGTTGTAAAAAATAACATTGAATTAGGAATCGGAATCTGCCCTGCCTAAGTCTAGCTGCCTAAATTAATCACTTGAACTACAGACTTAGCTTGTTCTCTTGCTGACATAAATGGTGTATAATTATTCCATGCAAAGCAGAACAGCTTCAAAAGCAAAGATTGAGCAAGTCACACCACATTATATTGTACCATCTGTTATGTAGAGAACCCACCTGGGCTGGTGGTTTCTATATATAAAATAGAAATTTACCTCCTCTTGGGTCTTTCTGGAAGAGTCCTGTAACCACTGGCTGTAGCATTAAAAGGGGGATTGTCTTGTCCTCCAGTGTTTTGTTTTGGGAATGGAATGACATAGCTCTCCAAACCTGAAGTTCTAGGAAATCCTGTCATTGGTGAATCCAGCTTGTGCCATGGCTCTGCAGCTTGTTGCTTCTGTAATGCTGTGAAGACAGCCATTCATGGGGGTGTCTGCGAACCAGGTCACTGAACTCATCACGGTTAAAAACAGGCCTGGAACAAAAGGCATGACATGACAAATAGTTGGCATCACTAGAATAGCAGTGTGATGAGAGTGAGGGGCAGGGGAAGAGAGAAGAGAAGGGGTATGAGGGTATGAGAGAATTTCTGAAACCAATATCTTAGCTGAAGTCTGTCTTTTCTGGAATTGCGGTTGAAATCTTTGAGGGGATTCAGGATGGTCATAAGCGTCTCCTTGCAACACAGAGTAAGGGCCTGTGATTTTGAGGGAATGGGGTCTAACACTTTCCTGTTTCTTCCAGCCACAGTGATTCTTTGCTTGTGCGCTTGCTATTTTGAATCTCACTCTTATGGGGTGACATGTATGCCTATGTATCTTACAAATAGCTCACAGACCTGTGGATTCTTCCGTATGTCAAGTCACCCAGAAGTTAGGCATAGTAGCTCTACTACAGCAGCTCTGCCCTGTGGAGGAACGCTTGCGGTGTTAAGGGAGTTAATGTTTCCACTGCTGCAGCTGTTTACTGTACCGTGTTACTGAGACTCTGAGCAGTTACGTTTGGCATAGTGTGGAAAATGCCAGTGACTATATAAGCCTTGTCTACATTATGGTGTCCAAAATCATAAATATGATGCTTCACTATTACACAACTGGAAACTTCTTGAAAATGACAGAAATCATGAAACTGCTAAAAACATGAAGCAGCCTAGTGTTTTAATCCGGTGGTAAGAAAGGTGCTCGCATTTTGGTGAGAAAAAGTTAGCTTGTTGCTCCTGGTTGATGTGAGATGCGTTATATGAGTAGACTGTTTAAATGCTCCAAAATGTCTTAGCACATTCTGCTGTTAGTCATGATAGCTAGATTGCATTGTAATTGAACTACCCATCTACTGGAGACTTCTCCCTTTGTACAGCACTCTGCTATGAAATGTCAATTTGTAGCTTATCTAACTCCAGTCTTGTAAGATTAAATACTGTATGCTGTTTCTGCACCCAGAAACAACCATTTTGGTTATTGGATAAAAAATTGCTCAGTGTTTTTAATTATTCAAGCAAGAGTAAGTGATGCTTTTATTTCAGGTTTCTTGGGCTACTTTTTATTTGAATATGTGCAATATGTCCATAGCTATGTGCTTAATGTGAGTCAAAAAAAGATACCTTACTTCATTTGAAGATACTTGATTTGGTGGAGAAAGAACCGTGTACTATACAACTTTTATTGTGTGCTTTTTGTGCTTTTACCCTGTTTCACAGCAGCCTAAATCCAGCTCCCACTGAAGTTGCTGGGAAGAGTTTTAACATCATCCTGTTGTTTGGTCACTATGTTAAAAATGAAAAGGGGATAGCACTATATTCAATTGTAAATGCAGAAATCTTAAAGAATATATTTATGTCAGTGTCTGGTATAGGTAGATAAGCAATCACAGCAGGGATTGCAAATGCAGAAGCAATGAAGTCAAGTTAGTATGAAGTTTATTATTCAGGTTCCTTCTTGAACAAATGTGCTGTCAGTGTTTAAATGAATGAAAGATTTAAAATAAATAGAGGTGCAAATGGTGAGTTTAAATATCATAGTGTTGTACTTTCACCTTGTCCAAAATAATTGTAGAAGTTCCCAGCTTTAGGAATTGTGGGGACAAGGAAAAGTAAAAACAGTGAAAATAATTGCCCATGTTCTGAATACTAGTCTTGTTTTCAGTGGTGTTTGTAGTATTTTTCCTAGATGGGAGCTGCAGGTGCAAGGAAATGACTTCAGATGTGAAACATTAATCAGTTTGCCTTTTTCCTTCATTTTGATTGCGTGCTCAGTATGTTTTTAATAGCAGTTTTTGTTTATTTTGGTTGAGTTAGCAACAGATGAGTAAAGCAAGTCTGGAATCTTCGAGAAGGATTTTAAAAAAATCCTCCATTTTTCTTTCTGTGAGAGAATTCACTTAGTAACTGCTTTGAGTGAACTTTTAAAATAATAAATGGAGTGTTACTGAATATAAATAAATAGAAAGGAGTGCAAGGTGCTGATATTCCTAACAGAGCTGTTGTTCAGTTTGATATTGAAATACGAACACCTTGGGAATTGAATTGTTTGCGGAGTTTAATTTTCATGTAGTTCTGTCTGCTATAATAACAACCCAAGGTCTGTAGTGTTCATCCATCTGATAGGGTTATAATTTGTTATGGTGAAATGACAGTTAAGGAGGCAGCGCTTAAAAAAAAATCATAATTTTTGCTATTCTTAAAAGTTTTAAATCTCACTGTGTATGTACCTGTATCAACAGTTCCTGCACACTGATTTGCAAAGGCACATACCATTATCATCATTTTATAAAATTGGTATTTGCACACACAAATCGCCATTCAGCTATCTATTAGCTTGTAGAACTCTTGTAAGTAGAATTGGAAGTCTAAGCATGCAGTGTGCATGTATTTTGATGTCTCAACCTCTAGAATCTTTTGTTTAGATAGAAGTTGAATTAAAAACTTTGGCCCCAGCTGTTCCATGCTTACTGTCCTGTGAGCTTGAGCGAACTGTTGCCATCAGTGGGGTATGGTGTGGACTCTGGCGCTGTCCCATCCACAGCAGCCTCTAGGACAGGGGTCTTTGCTTTCTACACTCTCATGTGCTTGGAAAACAGAAATAGATCAGTCAGTTTTGCTCAGATTGAGTTAGTTTCCTGTTCCATTTCTTGCATAAATGAACATATTCCTACTTTTTTGTTAGCTGTGCACCATTTAGTCTTCATTCACTTTCCTTATATGTATGCATTATGAGACAACCTTTAATTACTACATGATGTCCTTTTATTATTTTTTTTCCAAAGACCTTTGCCTTATTTATGTAGAATAGGTGTTGCTCTCATATGAAGCAGCTGTTTGGTATTTTGTTCTCTGTTCATTGTTCATAGGCACTTTATTTACCATGCAGTATGCTTTTCTTTCTGTTCAACTTTTTAAGTTCTAACAAGTGTAAGGCAATAAAAAAGACTTCTTCACTAGGTCAGACATTTTAACCTGAGATTAACTGTGTTTAAAATGCTTATGTATGTGACAATTGATTAATGTATGGATCAGTTAATTACACTGCACATTTTGACAACCCATTGTGTTTGTATATAAAAATCTGACTAGCTTCAGGCCATATCTCTATTTCAGTACAACTATCTTGAAAGAAGGAACGTATGAAATATTGTACTTGAAGTATAAGTAAAAGGTATAAGGCAAGATTTTTTTTTGTGAGAAAACTTTATATTTCTTAGTTCTGATACACTTTTTTCATAATTATGTAAGATAAAATACATGTTTTAAAGGACAGAGAGATCAGAATGAAGTAGGGCTAGAATTGGAACTGGAGAAGAAAACAGAGAGAAGTGAAGCTAAGAGGAGCCCAGATGTTTTATAATCGTGTATAATACCTGTGTGTGATTAAAAAGTCAGTTAATGTGTCACACATTTTAATGTCCAACAGTATAGTTGTACTAAAAAAATTATCTTTTGGTATCATTTATCTCAAGTATAAAGATCCTAAAAGAAGCAGTAAGTTTTACACATATAATTGTCTTCTATCAGGGGAATGACCCGTATATCTGAAAATGGCTTGGACTTTTCTGCTAGAGTACACAAATCCTTCCCATAGCTGCTGAACTTACGAAGTCTTGAACCTCAGTTTTCATCTGTGGAGTATTTTTTTGCATTTCCACTTCCGTTACGTTCTTTCACTCCTCTGCTGACCTAAAGTTTTTGTATTTGCTTACCTTCCATTTAGCATCTTTCAAGCTTAAAATTAGATGGTAGCTTGTTATGCAATATCATTCGATAGGAAAAAAGATAAATTCTTTAATTCTGACCAGAGTAAACTGACAAGGGAGCAGTCCCAAAGCATGTAGGTTTTATTAGTGCTGAATCACAGCTCCATTTTTTGTTTGAT